TTAAACTTGGACACAGTTGGGTGTTGCAACTACACAATGATTGTTACACAAATCAAAAAAATGTTTTGAAAAGATAAATGAGGTTTAAAAAAGGCGCATAGATCAACCTCAACTTTTGAAAATTTTGGACTAATCCCAAAAAATTAGGCGATTCTCTAAAGAGTTGACGAATATTCTGCAACTTAGTTTGGTTTTACAATTCTGACCCAGTATAGATTACAAGAAAACAAAAGCATTTAAATACATTTTGATCATCACAAATTAAAATCACAGTTTTGTGTGTAATTCTTATGCTAGAAATAATAAATATATATCGCAATAGACGTGTGATAAATATCAATAGATGATACAAAATATTTAATATTCACTGAACTCTGATCTAGAACCACACAGCATTCTGGGAGATGTAGGCAGAGGGACCCCTTTAGTTGCTCAATCTAAGCAAAGTTGGTGGAATTAATTTTACTCACTCTTTGGTTACCTAGCAACTCACTCATTCTTTGGTTACCTAGCAACAACCTGTTGAGTAACTTGCGCAGCAGCACTTTAAAGTTTTGTCACTGTGCCTCATAACTGCTTAAAAATAAACAGCAGCAACAGTTTGGTGGTATTTTAGACATTTAAAACAAAAAACTAATCAATAATTATCAATTAATTAATTTGAAACGCTTATAATCGTGTTAGATTTTTCAGGCATTTTGTTCGGTCTTAAGAATTAACTGAAGATGTAGGTCAATCAATCCACGTTAATAAAAAGTAGCTCAAAAAAAAAATTAAATATTTTCATGATAAAAATTCACTTAGTAATGTCATAAAAAAATCAATAAAAATCAAAGAACAGAAGATGTAGCCAGAGTTTTAAAACTTTCAAGTTGCTTTCAAACATGAACAGCTGCTAATATGTCAGCAGCTACTGGGTGTGTCCACTTTAACCCCCCTAAACCCAGAATTACATAAAGAACAGTGAGATTTATATTGATTTTATAAAAATGCCCAAAACGTGCAGAAAGTGAAAATTTTAGCCTCTTTTTTTAAGACGAGATCAAATTTCAGTATCTTGTATCTGTGAGTTTCTGGCAAAACAAAGGAAAACCAAAGCTATGCTGATGGGACGGCAAACAGAAGGTTTAAAGGTGTGTGTGTTTATATTAGTGAGTCCATAAGAAGTGGGAGTGTCATGTTCAGCTGATAATGGTTAAATTTAATGTTTGTTAGCTTATGGCTAATTTCAATCATCAGACGTTTAACAAATTTCTCCAATTAGAGCTTTCTGGGCGTCAATCCTTAAAGAAGAGAGAATTCTGTTTAAAAGGTGACAAAATGTGTTTTGAGAAACTACGGTATACTTTCTTAGTCAAGTATAAAAATCTATTCCAAATAAAACTTGTAAATGAGTCTAAGAGACTTCTTAATGGATGCTGGAAAACTCCAGAGGGGCAAAGAGTTGAACTGAAATGCAAATTAATAAAGAGGAACCTGGCAGCCGGAAGAAAAGGTGAAAACACTCAGAGGAGCTCCTTTCATTAGATCGACATTTTTATCTGATCTTTTCAGCCTTTTCTCCATGTTATGATTCATATTCTGCATCTCCACACACAACTGGAACCAGAAATTTATATTCATTGAATAAAAATATATTTTATTCTTCACTGTCTGGCCAAACTTTACTTGTTTAAACTTTGTTGGACTAATTACCAAAAGTATTTCTGTTTACTAAATGTATTTACTAAACTTATTGAGAACATTTATTTGAAAAGTTTTGTAACTTTTTCATATTCAATAGTTTATACATTTGGTCGGTTTCCAGGATAACCGTCTTTTAAACTTCGTGACCTGGGTCAAATCTTTTGGTTTACTTTTACGTTTCCTTGTAATCTTCTAAATTTCTGAGTTTCAAAGGTCAAAAATGTTTGACTTTTGAAACTCAGAAATTTAGATTTTTCTTGAAAATTTCTAGTAAATTAAAATTTTTATTTTTTCTTGAAAATTTCTAGTAAATTCGAAATTTCATTTTTTTTCTTGAAAATTTCTATTGAACTCAAAATTTTTGTTTTTCCCCCCCAAAATTTCTCTTAAATTCAAAATTTTATTTTTTCTCAAAAAATTCTATTGAACTCAAAAAAAATTTATTTTTATTTTTGATATTAATCTCAAAATTTCTAATGTTTTTTAGCAAAACTTTACTCTCGTATTTTACTGTTTGTTAAAAATCTGTCATTTAGAAATATTTTTTGTAAGGGATTGAAAGAATAAAATAAGTTAGAGCAGTAAATTGAAAAGGAGCTACAAATTAATTAAATGAATAATCACTTTATTTTCCTTTTGTTTAGCATGACAACTTAATTTGATTACTTAATTAATTAACCCAATTATATTTAACATTGGATCACCTGTTTTCTTTTTTCAGTGAACAAAAAAAAGGCAAAAAATGATAAAGCATTCTAATATCAGGACTAAATGAGGAAAAAATAAGTGGAACAAGTTGAGAATCAGAGATAAAAATGGGTAAAGTGTCAAGTTGGTTCAGTAATGACGTGGGACAAGAGGAGAGGTGTAAAGACGAGACGAGGGCATCAGCAGCAGCTGCTCAGAACCAGCTGGAGAGCCGACAAAAGGCCAAATCGAACTCTGTGACCTTGGAGGTGATTACCTGCTGGAGTGTTGCTGAAAAACAACAAGCTAACGCAGAAACCTCATTTTATTCACCCAATTTTATTGTTTATAAATGCCAACAAGGTAAATTGATGTCTGCCAAAACATGGCCATGTTAATTTGGTTTCCATGAAATGCTCTGGGTCTAATTCAAATTCCAGTCAGGAATATTTTAACAGCAAACCAGATCATATCAGCATGCTTGTTAATCAGAGCAAAAAAAACTAAAATAATCACTGGTGTTAAAGAAAAACAACAGGTTCAGTGTTTATAATTCTTCCTACGTTTGCACATATCCTGAGACTTAATGGGTTTAAAAGCTGGACAACAACAAATTGCTCAACTGATTGCACAATTATGCAGATAATTAATCAAAAGTCCAATCAGACGTGTTGGAGCTGATTCTCAAAAACACCTTGTGCTGATAGCTGGAGCTCCCATGAGATGAAGGGCAGGAATGGCTGTTTTTATGTTTGGGAACAGGCTGCGGACAAACAGAGCACTTCCTCTAAAGGTGTAATAGCTGCAGGCTGGTTACTGCAATAAAAAGAGGTGGAGGACAAAAGGACGACATAGAGACATTTCAAACCACTGATTGGATTACGGCAATATTTAGTGAAGGATCATTCAGTTTATTGCTCAAACTAATCCATGTTTACTCCCGTTTCTGTCTAATAATTACATATTTTTTTTGTCTGTTTAATTTTTTTTAATGAGATGCTGCTTGTAGTTTTCTGTCCTGGTGACAAACACTTTTACCTCTAACTCTGCAGAATTAAACTGGTTCAGGTCTGTTTTTAACTGTTGATTCAAATAATGATCCCAACATTCAGAGTTGTTCATGTAAACGGTCCACATTGTTCCTGATTCAACTTTCAATGGATGGAAAGAAAAACTAATGTAGAGAGAGAGGACAACCAGAAGGAGGGAGAGATGGAGAAAGAAGGACGAATGGATGGAGAGATGAATGGCTGAATGGATGGATTAATAAACGGATGGATGAACAGATGGATGGTTGGACGGACGGACAGGTGAATGGAAGAATGAAAATGATCTTCTAATTTCACTTTAAAACTATGTTCTAATTAAAATCAGAGATGATACAAGTTTAGATTTCTGAACCTTTACGTTGATCTATTTTGAATTGTTTGACGAAAGTTTTAAATGATTATTTAAAGGTTTAGTGAGTAAAAAAGACAAAAACAATCCAGTGTTCTGGTGGTTTGAATGTTCAGGGAACCCTTGAAAAAGACGGAAAGCTTTCAGCTAATAACTCTGCAGGTCTGGAAAAGCAATGAGATTACGGAGCAACAGGCTGCCTAAATAAAATTTTCTGCTAATATGATGGTGAACAGAGAGCCATGTTGGTTTGAATCTGACACAAAACACCAAACATGTGCTGAAAAAGTAAATGTTACTCCAGACAGGTGGATTAAGGGATAAAAAGAGCTTTGTCACAACACCTTGAAGCCTTTATAGTTCAAGGTTTGTCTGAATAAATGCCTCCCAGATATCTTTTCACAGTAGAGAGCTTTTATATGCATATTTAGCTTATTTTCATGACTTATTTCAGCTGTAAATTGGTCTTATATTAACATATGCTACAACAAAATGGCCGACTATGCCAAATCAACACTTCCTTCTTCAGAGGTCAAATGTCAGTTTATTGAAAGGCTACAGTTGCAAATTGAGAGTTTATGGAAAAGTAAAAAAAAAAAAAAAAGACATTCTACTAGTTAAAGGCAACCCATTGTGCTTTTTTGAACAGCTTAGGCTAGATCTATGATCTACACAAAACATGTTGAACTTTTCTTTTTGCAGAAAATCATTCTTAGACAATTAGATTTTAGTCTGATCATTTCTACCAACTTTGAGCTGCTTTAGGGCGTCTTGTCACTTTAAATTCAAATAAGCTGCTGTTGGCCACGCCCCCCAACTCAACGTTTACGCTCGCAGGTGAAAATGGCTGCACACAGATCTGCAATTATGCTACGGTACATCTTTGAAAAGCATTAGTAGAGCCTCCTGCACAACCAACAAGAAAGTGGTTTCTGGATGATAAATCGTCAACAAAACACTAGATTTGTCTTTTCCAGCATGGGCTGGAGTTCTGTTTGGGTTGCTAGGAGACGGGCTTGGCTGGGGTTGCTAGGTAACAAGCTGGGCTTGGCTGTGGTTACTAAGCGATTTGTGACGTCATATTCCGAAGGTGACACCCAAAAAAACTTTAAGTTAATGCTAAAAAAAAACGGCTAGATGGGTTTTTCAAGTGCTTGAGTTGTTTTTAGAATCAGTAGAGACTTTTTCATTTACCATCTCAACATTTACATCTCTGTTTGTCTTTTTAGCAACCTCACAGCATCGTCCAGCGGCGCCTGCTGGAGGGAAACATCACGCGGCTCCGAGGCGAGGCCCGGGACGCCACCGCCAGGGTTCGCTCGCCGTTGGCCGACACCAAGGACGGACCTACGGACACCGAGGAGAGGAGCGAGAGCACAGCAGACGACTCCACCGAGGAGAGGGAGTCTCTGGAGGAGAGCGAGAGGAGCCTCCGATCAGACGAGGAGGACGATAACAGCGAGGCCGGAGCCAGACACTCAGCCGAGAAGCCGGAGAGCACGGACAGCTCGACCCGACTCACAGCTTTAATTATTCAATGCAAGGTACCACGCACTGTAAAACAGTCCGCCTGCAGTTTTTCATTTTATTCACCCACGTATATCTGCAAGCAAACTGAAAACAAAAGGAGACGAGCTCCATTGTGCTCCTGTGACTCATAACTTGGAGCTCATTTTCACCTGAGAACGAATGAAAAGCTCTGCAGGACCAGCAGCTTTCAGACTGGATCAGAACCACAGATAAGTGAGTCACACAGACTGAAAGTCCAAACAGGTCTACCGTGGGTGAAAGTATAACATTTACTGCAGCAGAGCTTAAACACAAACAGACTGTGGTTTAAAGCAAAACTAATGGGGCTTCAGGGCAAAATAAAAGGTCAGTACATTTGTTACCAACAAATTTTGTTCACTGAACTCAAGTTTAGATCCAAGGCAGGATATTAGAGCCACTGCTTATAGACAAAATGAGGAAATTTCCACCAAAAAATCTAAAATTTTCAAGAAAAAACAAAAAGTCAAAGATTTTCAAGAAACAAAACTTGGATGTTTCTGAGTTTCTGACATTTAAAACGAAGAAATGTCTGAGATTAAACTCACTTTCTGAATTTTATTGTAGTAAATTTTTGACTTTTCAACCTCAAAAATGTATGAGATCATTCTCAAAATTTTGGGACTTTTCAAACTCAAATTTTCCAGTTTTTACAGAACTTTTTAAAGTAGTCTCAAACGTTTTGACTTCTTATGTGGAAATGTACTCTTTTTTTCTATCTACCATAATCATTGCTTAATGTCTCAGATTGGGATTAAATTCCCCAGATTATCTGTTAAATCTAAGATAAATTGAACAGAACTAAAAGCAGACATCATCTGTTTTCTCACAAATATTTCCCCTATATTGGAAGAGATCAAGGTAATTTAATTAGAAATAAACACATATAGAAGTATGACATTTTTATAGTTTAAATCTTTATGAAAACAAAGAGTGCAGTGAGACTTTAGTCCAAAAGTATCTCATTTAAAATTTAACCAGCGGCAAAAACAGCTAATATTTGCCTATTTTGATCTTTGAAAGAAATCAATGCTAAGATCAAACATCTCCTGTTCTCAGTGGTGTTTAAATAATGAATCACTGAATGCTGTTAATATTTAAAATAATCCTATTTTCCAGCACATTCAGCATTCTGGGTTTTATCATCAACTCATTAACAGCTCAGGCTTCTTGTGTTACTCATTCAGGGGCTATTTTTAAAGCATCAGGGATTTCAGAGGCAGCAGGACTCAGAACAAAGAGCAGGTTTCTGTGTCTGCTGATAAGAACAGGGCGGCCATCTTGGTCCGTGCAGAGCGAGCAGAACCACAAGAAACTCACTGTGCTCATTTCCACCAGGGTGGCAGATTGTCTTTGGTGAAGTGGATAAAGTATCGATTTATGACCGGCAGAGAAGGGTCAATAAATATGACAGAAGATGACTTTTTGAAGATCTTTGCATAAAACAACAAAACTGAGATTTATAACATAAAAAAAGAGAGAGAAAGTCAAATTTTAACAGTAAATAGATGAGTGGGTAATAAGGATTTAGAGTTTTATTGCAATATTTTGTGGTACTATTGTGATTATGATTTTTTTTTAAAAAGCAACTTATTTCTTAGGTAATTGTTCGACTGACTACATTCGTAGCTCCACAAATTTGAAATGGGATTCTTTAAAAAAAATAAAATTAAAAACTGTGATTTAAATCACTAAGTGGCACACTGTAACTGCATTTAATCATATTTTGAAGTATTGATATTTATCGATGCTTTTGTGGGACAAAGTGAAGAAAATGGTAAAATACACATAATTCTGACTGAAATGTATCATGATGATAAATGAAAATACATAAAATAAAATTCACAATAAATGCATCAAAATAAGGAATGAATCAGTAGATTAACTGATCTACTGATCAGTTAATCAGTGGATTAACTGATCTACTGATTCAGATAATAAATTAAAAATGAGCTCAATAATTGAGACCGTTTTAAGTAATGTTTTCAAAATGCCAGTTCGCCCTTTCAAAGATTAAGCGTTCTTTAATATTTATAAAGAACAGCAGCTCTACAGTTTCCTAAAATATTGAACAGCTAACAGTATTAAACTGATGCTAGAGTTGTAGTTTATATGAGACTTTATAAAAGATAAAAATAGTCCATACAGCTGAGAGCCATTTGTAGATTATCCTGGAAAATATCTAAATTATGCACTGTGTGGGGGTGGCGTCACCCCACTGCTTATCTCACAAGCCTGCAGAGCCGCCATATGCTGCGTTTACATCCCAAACTCTTCCTTTAATGTCCCTCTACTGACACCAACTTAAAGGTTTCTGAGGAAGGACCTCAGACAAAACACTTAGCATAAACCATTCCAGTCTGCTGCACTACAGAAAGAAGCACATTGAAATGTCTTGCAGGCAGCAGAGGAACTGTGAAAAGAAAGAACAAAATAAAAGTCAGTGAAAATAGGCAAGGCTGCCTGTTGAAGCTGCTACTCCAACACCTCACCTTGAGAAAATCTATGAGAACGACAAAAGCTATGTGATCAATGAATTTTTTTCTTGGTGTTGTATGAAGATACTTGATTTAAAAAAAGAAGCGAAAGGCAAAAAATACAATGAGATTTCAGAACGATGAGGTGGAGAACATATTGATTTTGAAAAAAAGCTATAATTTGAGAAAAATTATTACTACTCTAGGGTTTAAATTTGGACATAGGATGTTACAGTGATTCAGAGTGGTCAAACTTTGCCCCAGAAAAGCTAAACTAGCTCAGTTAAGCTAGTTGAAGAAAGCTAGTTCAGTTAAGCTAGGCTAGAAAGCTAGCACACAAATCTTTTAGCTTTTCTAAAACCAGAATTCATCATTTTAAATTTGTTTTTGCCATTTATTGAATAACAAAACATGAATAGATCAGATTTAGTTTCAATTTGCGTTTTCTTTGACCAAAAACGTCTTAATATTTTTTGTTTTTACTTTACTACTGTAGCATAATGCAGCTGTTCACCTTATGACTTTACCAGGTTGTTGGTGCCCCAGTTTAAAACATTTTAATGAAAATATTTTTGCAGTTTAGTGAAATTAATTTAAAATGATCTAAACAAAACTGCACAGACTCTTTGAATGGGTTTCTGTTAGGAGGTTGTGATTAATTTTATTCTGTTTTTTAAAAAGAAAAGGCTAAAGAACCATTTATTTAGTTTGGTAGTTGCCTATTGTTTGGGACTCAAGTGTTTTTATATCCATCATCGTATGTGTTTGTATTTTATTTTATTATCTACATATCAATGTTTTTTATGTCCCATTATGTTTATGATATCTATATTTTACTGGATGCAGTCCTTTGTGAGAATGTAAAAAACACTATCTAAATAAATTATTCAGTCATAACTACAAAATGTAAGCCTTGAGAAAGCAATAATTGTAATAATATGCAGCAATATTTGAACATAACTCAAAAAGAAAGCCATTTAGAAATAGAGATCAGCACATCATAATCTTATAAATTTTCAATGTGAAAAACTAATGCCTTTCCTAGCGAGGTTCAGCCAGGACACATTATGTTTTCAGAGTGGATTCTGATGAAAGCTGAGAGATTAAATCAAAGATGAAACTCATTAAATAGCTCTAGAACTAATAGAGAATACAGGACTGGCTGATAATTATCTATTATTACCACATTTCACAGTAATTTCATCTAATTGTATGAGAGAAATGGTTGTAATAGACGCAAGAGAATTGGTCGTGGGACGAGAATTTAATGTTATTCTTATTCAAAGACATGATTAAGATTTGTGGCATGGCATACACAAAAAATCAACACTAGGTTTTCACTTCACTGTACTGTGGTTTGCAATTTATTAAATGTGCACATATGACTCACTTGGTTAATATTTCATGGTTGGTGGTGTATAAACAGGAAAATTCAAAGTGCATTCAGCAGACTTATGAATCAGCATCTCCTGTTAGCAATATGAGACTTAATATTTAAGCTAAACATCCCAAAACATCCTTAAAATAGAACACAGAAGCAGAGTGACTTCATAGCTGCTAGCTAACGATGACTACCATTGGTTTTAGCTGTTAAACTGTCAATACCGCATGTAAATCTTAAATGCACGCCTGCTGTATAAAAGAAAAGGGGACTCAGTGCTTGACAACTACATAACAAGGTGAGGAAAAAGTTTAAGAAAAAATAGCGAGGGACGTAGTTGACAAACAGATGTAATAACAGAACACCTGTTAAAAGCAAGCATTTAAATTAGCTAATCTGTCACCGCAGTGTTAGCTTAGCTAATAACAGCGGTAGCTAATCTACCACAGCGTTCACTTAATAATCGCAAAACAAACACCAAGTCTTAAAACATAATACTATAACAGATGGTAACGGACTGAATGTGTTGTTCTTTGTGTGAGAAATGTTTGAATGTTTTTTGGTGTCGAATCATGAAACATAAAGTGACGTTGTCAGTTGCTATGGCAACGAGTCTCCGTGTAGCGTAACAGACAGAGTACGAGAGAGAAAAAAAAAAGTGGTTTTGAGTTGCGTTATTTTCCAATTTCCTGTGGCGCATAACACTAAATCAATAGTGCCGACATCCCCAGGTTTTATTTAGTTAACGGAATTTTTCTACAGCTATGGCACGTAAAAGAATTTTCATTTTCCAGCATTGTGCGCATGCGCGGCATTTCCGGATCTATAACATACAGGAGGTTAGTTTTATTTTAACTTGACCTGCTTAACAGCTGCACAGAATCGATGCAAACCAAGTCGCAGCAACATTAAACCCTGGACAGGGAATTCTCCACCAACAGTGTTTGTTTTGTTTCTGGATTTTATTTTTCAGCTTGGCAGTTTTATAGGCACATTGCAGCCAGACAGATTTGTGTAAAAGAGAGAAGATCAGCCTTTAAAAACTCCCTAAAGCTATACTTATGTGCCGCTGTGACAAACTTTTTCCTTGCGTGCAGAATCATTGCAAATTGGAAAATCTCACTATGACACCAAAATCCCCTCCTCTCGTCTCTTCTCAGTGCTGCGAAACTGAAGTGAAGGCATCCATCAACACTGGCAGCCTACACAACCACATCTCCACCTCCTGCTGCCAGAGGCTGGGGTAAGAAACATCCAGCTCAACACAACAAAAACGCACCGCTCTCAATGTATTCCTGACTGTTTCTATAACCAGACAAACTAACTGCCAACAAAGATAAAGTTCTAATAAAAGAGACTTTAAAGCATTAAAAGGAATTGTATTTAAATGGACTGCATCAATTTTAATCAGTTCTTATCTTCAGTAATGATTTAATTTTATGATGGCTTATTTAATATACATTTACAAAATTGAGAAATATATAAAACATATTAATTTTAAATTGCTAAGGGGAATATTTCATTAAATATTGTCCAACAGGCAGGAAACTGGAGACTTATTAAACAGGCACTCAAACTAGCAATCACTATAGTCTGGCTGTAATTAACCATAATGCATAGTGGTAGTCTTCAAGTGTTCTGCAAAAACACTAAGTCTTTGTGTAATTTTTGTGTAGTTTCTAGTGCAAATATGTTAATCACATTTCAAATGTACTAGCTTTCAAATAACGTTTCAGCAAGATATCAGCTTGTTTAAAATCAATAAATTCTTATTAGTGATGAAAAACTTCTGTTCCACTGACAGATTATTCAATTTATCACAAGACATTTCTCCCATGTTATAAGTGAAATAATCTGTCAGTGGAAATACTTTTTAAAATCAAAATTAAGGAATTATTGACTTAAAACAAGTCCCATTTTTGCATGGAGAGTTACTTTTAAGTTAGTTTTGTAATATTTCAAGTGTACTAAGATATTTGCACTACAAACCAGACCAAAAATACTTGGTGAAATTTTGTGTTTTTGTAGTGTATGAACATATTTTATACAAAGAGTATAAAATTTGTTAAAAGTAAGTAATTTCTTACCTGAGAAACTTTATGCTGTGTAAACTCTTGTCCTGGTTGTAGCCTCTGACAGCCTTGGGGTTTGTCCTCAGTTAAAGCCACATCTCCAAGTTGGCCATTATCTTAAACCAAAACATGTTTGTAAAAGTGACCACTTATTTTCAATAATATCACCATGTTGTCAAGTTATGAAGAAAAAACAGTTCCATTTTTAAAATCTTAAGATTCTACTGGAATAGACAGCTAAAACAATGTGAAATTTTTCTTTCTCCTTTAGACAAATGAGCTAAATTAAAAATGAAAGCTGCATTTGGAAGGTAGCAACATCAACCAGGTAAACATGTTAATTATTGAAGGTACTGTGAGGATCACAGAGTGTGTCTGTCTTCTCAGACTGGTTCCCATTAAGGACAGTTCACCATGCGGTGCTACCAGTTCAGTGACTGGTCTGCAGCTACAGCTGGGCAGACAGACTATCCAGTGTTCAGCATATGTGAAAGGTAAGGACATTGTTATAAAACCGATGTAAAGCAACTTGGGAACATTTTAAGGATTTGAATGTGATTTTTTATTTTTGAACTTATTTGTTTAGATTTTTTTTTTAAATTAAAACATATTTTCTCTGAGAAAGTATTTGTGCCTTTACACATGTAATCCATTTCTGCCATTTTAAAACAGTCAAACGTTTCAGATCAATCAAATTTTAATAACAAAAAGAGCTAAAGTAAATACAAAGAGCAAACATAACATAAAAACCGACCAGGACGTACAACTAGGCCTCTCTGACCCATAATTTCTGAATAATTTAATTTCCCTTTGGGATTAATAAAGTATTTTTGAATTTTCATTGAAGCCATACTATCAATAAATGAATAATATATAATCACAATAAACATGTGATCAATATCAGTAGATAATACATCTGATAGAATATCCAATAATATTGTTTTACTCCAATCCAGAACCGTACAGCTTTAGCCACTCTGACTCACTCTTTGGTTACCTAGCAACAACTCCCTCACTCACTCTTTGGTTACCTAGCAACAACTCCCTCACTCATTCTTTGGTTACCTAGCAACAACCTATTAGTATCGTGTGCAGCAGCAGTTTAAGGTTTCGCCTCATAACTGCTTAAACATAAAAAACTGTGTGGATTGAAAATTGTGGATAAAACAGGAAAAGCTACAGCCTTCGGTTTGGCAATATTTCAGATATTGAAAACACAAAACTAATCAATAATTATCAACATCGACTGATATGAAACGCTTATATAATGATACGTTTTTAAGCCTAAAATAAGTCAACCATTTGGATCCAAGGCGTTATTAATTTTATGATTGTCAGCGCAAAATAATCAGAAATCCAACTTTATTGTAGTAAAATGTCTGTATAATTCTTTTTATTTAAATTCTTATATGCCTAACTCAGTGGATACAAGACAGATCCTAAATGGTCTAAATGAAGCTAAATGAAGCCACGCTGTATGGACTTAAATCATTCTAACCAGTGAAAAACGGATAATTCAAGCAAAAAATTCAACCCCATACCCACAGATATTAAGTTTTTATGATACAACACCAACACCCAACCTCACAAGTACAAGCTTAACAGCTCTCATTATCACACAAAGGAATATTTTTGTAGAGCTTCAGTCTAATTTATGCATGTTCAGATAAGGTGGTTAAATTGCTTCCATAAAGCATTTCTATAATACGTTTTATTTTCTCTGCTCTTATCTTTTCTTCTCTCCACTTTTAGAGGATGAGGCGTCTGAACTGTGCCTGGGTCTGCAGACGCTGCTGGAACTGAAAGTAAGGTTCACTTTTTATTTTAATACTTGGTGGATAATGGTCCAAAAAAGTAGTCCAGTTTGAAGCTAAATTGCTAAATGGGAAAAACAGAAAAATGTTAAAAATGGCGGTAGGACGGAAAAGCAGATAAAGTAAGTTCATGGTGTGAAAATAATGTGAACTTGGATTCAGTTGGAGCGTTTCATGGACGGTGATTTTACCCTCTGGCTTTTTTTTAATGAAAATCTAATTAACTATGATTAGAGGCCTGAAGTATAAGAAGTCTAATTAGAATGTTGTTTAAGTGTGTAGCTGTAAAAATATCGCTGCTTCTCTCATAGATCATAATGTCAAGTCACTGGAAAATAATTACATTTCAAAGTGAAAGTTATATCACATCCTCACAGGCCTGGTGAAAGAAAGCAAATCCTGCATCAGTGCAACTGGTGACTGAATAAAACCCAAAAAGTAATTGATTTCATTTGACTTTAATCAGTCTGTTGCTGAAGGATCATCATCTACTTTACAACAGAATCCTGACAAAGAGCTTTAACCTCTGGGTGTAAACTAACAGGGAATGTTAAGGAATATCAACTTTTACAGTGTTTTTCTTTCACTATTCAATAATTATTACATTCATTTAACATAAATGCTGCTTCATAGATTTGGATTTTAGACGGCCATAAGTTCTGTGGCAGAAACTTTTATTTATTACCAGATAATACAATTTTTTATCACAATCCCCTTCTTTGATAAGAAAATATGTCATATATCATATATAATATGTATTTTTATTTTTTTTTTTTTGCAGTAGTATCCTCCACAGTCGGGAACTTTTGTCTGTGTTTTGTAAAAACTTTCATATTTATAGCTAAAAAAAACAATCAGCTGAAAAACAGAAATAGCATTTAAAGCAATTATTTTAACATATTTTATTTGGAAAAAACATGACTGAATAACAGATTAATTTGTACTTTCTCATCTTCGCTTTCTGAGGCCCTCACAGCGCCCCCTGGCGGACCTTTGAAAAATACGCCTAGTACACTTGAAATGAAACAAAACTAACTTACAAGTAACTTTTTACCAAGATAGAAGTTTGTTTTAAGTCAATAATTCTATAATATTGATGAAAAATACTGTAATCTGCCGGTGGAGCTCGAACGTTTTCATCAGTTATTGATTGTAAACGAGCTCCCAAATCTTCCTTTAAGTAATAATTAATGCACTTGAAATATGGCAAAACTAAGACTTGCACTAGAAACTAGATTATAATACTTGGTAAAATTTTGTGTTTTTGAAATTTATAACTCAAAAAATAGAAGTTACAATACAAAAACGCAAAATCTCAAGTATTTTTTTCATCTAGTTTCTAACACAAATGTCTTAGTTTTGTCTTACATCAAGTTTACTGACTTACAAGTAATTTTTCAGTGAGTTACAGGAGCTTATTGTAAGTAAATAATTAATATTGATGAAATAGTACTTATTTCACTTTTGAAACATATAAGTGAAATAATCCATCAATTTAACTAATACTTTTTCATCAATATTAGTGGAAAATTTGCTTAAAAACAGCTCCTGGATGATTTATAACGACCCCTTTCAACAGGCCTTGGATTAGCCTCCTGAAGTCAAGCTGGCAGCCTGTTTAAATTATTTAGAGCAGTAATTATGTCTCACCATGTGGATCCTCCCTCAGTGCTGCTTGGATCTGAACAGTCGGGTTCTGAAGCTTCAAGGCTGTGGCGATGAGCTGCCCTTCCTGAACACTGTAACCGACGGCCGGTGCCAACACGACACCAACGAAAACCTGTGAGCCGACTCCACGTCAGCTGCCAAGTCTGTCATCGCTAACGGGCTGCAGCTGCGAGAAACGAAGCCCTTTGTTTTTATCTGGACTGTCCAATCACAGTGTCACTGCCAGAACATGGATGAGCGTTCACCTCTGTTCTCAAGTTTACATCTTCATGTCTGCTGAGTTTTGACTTGATTTTCTCTTATAATTGTCTAGTTAAGCGGATCTAAACCTGATCTCTCCAGGTTTTGGGATAATGCTGTATTTCCTCTGTTCTGCTGCTTACTAAAAGAAAAATATAACAATTTGAAGTGAGTTTATATTGAATCTGCTATGATTTGAGGAATCATGTTGAATTACACCTCAATCACATACTGAGATTTTTTTCCACTTAGTTTTTTTTCTGTTACAAAAAATGTCTACAGTATTGTTAAACCACAATGACAAATTAGGGCCATTGTAGATAGAA